TATCCATCATTGTTTAAAGAAACAAGGGGAAAAAAAAAAACTAGTGTATTATACATTTCTCAAATCATTAGACACAAATGAGAAATATATTAAGAGGGAAAGTAGGCCTTACCCTTGGAAAAAAAAAAAAATGCTACCTGCCATGTCCTTGACCGGATCTCTCTTCTTCTTCTTCTTATACAACAAAAGTTTTCAAAAATATTTTAATGCACGTCACATTTCTAACATGAATATTATAAATTCTTCAATGGGAGTTCAAGTTCAAATTAACTTCCAAATTGGGACTATTGTGCATGGTAGATTAAATTAGGTCTATCTCATTTCCAAAATACTTTTCTCCTTTGGACAACAACCTCCTCCTCACGTGCACACGTGGGGGAGGACTTTGAATATTCCAATTCAAAAGTCATTGAAGAGAAAAGAATTTTTGAGAATTAGTTAAGTTAGAGGCCTGTTTGTCTTTGAATGTTCTAAGGTAGTTCTTTACTAAAACTTAGCTGCTAAAGTCCTTTAGAATATGTTCCCAATCATGCCTACCGCTGCCTTCTTAAAAGCAAAAACAAAGAGCCCAATTCCAATCCAGAGAAGATAAGTACTCACAGAATGTAATGTGTAAATGTTAGTTTTTTTAAAGGACTAATTTTGTTCAAGATAAAAATAGTAAAATTTAATTTTTTTAATAAATTTTATTTTAAAACTTAAATTTTTTATGTTGATAAGAAATTTATTGACTGATTTATTTATTATTAAACCAACGGCTTGTTGGGTAGATCTTATTTATCATATTGATTGATTAATTAAACATCTCATACTCACAAATTGCAATCCTAATTATATTAATATAATTTATTTTTTTCTTAACCGTTAGATATTATTAAATGCTAGTAAGTTTTAAGCCATTCATATTCTGAATTTGATATTTATGAATTCTTTCCATGGAAGAAGTACCGTTAATGATAATTGATTTATTAGTTGTTAAAGACCAGTTTATACTGCCATAAAAGTTAAGATAATGGTCCATTTTTTATTTTTATATGGTGAAATCAGTATTCAGTCTGTTTTTTTATCTTAAAACAATGTAATTATATTATTGTATTTTAAATAAATTTACCTCTAGAAAAAGCTTTGTGACTTGCACCCGATTTCTTTCTTTTTTCTTTTCCTCAAAAACATCCAATTGAGCTTGTGCAAGTCACTTTTTTTTTTTAGAAGGCATTTTTTATTAAAAAAAAAGTTAAGTGCAAGGCATATGATTTTTTTCAATGATTTGCACAGAAAAAAAAACACTAAAATGACAAATTAAAAATTCACTTAAAATATAAAAATATAATTCATTCGTTTTAGAATATAAAGATAAAAAAAATACTAATTTCATTATATAATAACATATACAACAATTTCTCCAAAAAGTTAGATTATTATATCAACCCCCAATGATCATGCTAAATCTTAATTAATCGATGATCATCATTAAAACGAAACAATCGTCGCCCACTCTTAATAAATTAAAAAGGACTTCGTAGAACGTGGAACTAGTCTTTACTGCAGAACTTTGAACAGAGGTAGAAAAGAGAAGAAGAAGAAGTTTCTTCTTCATGGAGGAGTAAACTATAATAAGTCATTTTAGTTTTAAAAAATGAGTTACTTAAGTTACTTTTATTTCAAAAATTAATTATTTAATTTTTAAATTTTTTTATTGTTTGTATTTTTTCAAATAAAAAATAAATAAATATTATGAAAAAATCGATTAAATTTTTTTTAAAAAATAATATTAAATTAAGAGTGGTGAAAACTAGGCAAGAGAATAAATAATTAATTTTTAAAATAAAAAAATTTATTTATTTATTTATTAAAATTAAAAGAATTAATTTATAATGGGTTCTTGACGAGGTAACTTGTTGAAGAATGTGTCCTAGGAGGCTAGGCTCCAAAGTCCTAATCTCTTCCTTTTTTGGCTGCGTGGGAAGATGCCAACACAAAAACAATGGGCAGGAATCTAACACCCAATTTAACACGTCTCCTTCTTCTACTACGCAGGCCGTTCACAGAACAGTAACAAAGACTACAGTCAATGTTAGATTTGCCGTGATCCATGTATAACTGAATGGATGTCGAGATTAGTGTTTAAGATATATATATATATATATATATATATATATTTGGGTCTTTGAGGATCATAATTTGAATATTTAGGAGTTAAAAAAAAAGGATAGTCTGTAATAAATTCATAAAACCTTGTCATTATCCAGGTTTTTTCAGAAAACTGGAAAGTTCCTGAAAGTTGTCTGAAACTTATTGTCAATTTTCTACAATTGTTTTTCCCCTTGATTTCATTGGCTAGATACAAATATATATATATATATATATATATATATATATATTGGAAATTATGGTTACTTACTTTTCATGAGAAAAATTTATAGAATAAAAAGGAAAACTAAAAATGAAAATCGAGAAAACTATATTTTTTTAGTAAAAGCAGCCTTAGCTTTGCACTTCAAATTCTCAATATTTTAGTCCAATTTGTGCTAGATAGTTTAAAATTACTTGGCCTGGCAGTCTTTATTTTTTTTGGAACCCGCAAAACCCATCATTCTTCAGTCACATTCAGTGGCTGCAAATTGATTTTAAAATTAAAAATTTCAAGTTTTTTATATTTTTGAAATCAAAGAAATATGTATAAGCTTTGTGATGGCAATAAGAAAATATAGAAAATAAAATTTGAACTTTGAATCTTAAAGTAGAAATTCAAAATTCTTACCACTAAACCATTCTTTATGGTTGTCTAATAATCCTAATAAAACAGCCAAGTTGTTGTAATGATTATCATAAATATCATTACACAAAGAAATCCAACAAGACTTGGGTATTTTGAAGAGAATCAAAGGCAGGACAAGCACATCCAAGAATCAGATTTTTTTCCGAACTTTTTTTTTTTCGAAGGTTTTAGATTTTAGACTACATAATAAAAAATAATTCATTTTTATTATATAATAATTAAATTAATTAAAATTATTAATGCAATTTTTTCACTAAAAAAACAACTAAATACATAATCATCAGATTATATCATTTACTTTTATACGCGCCTGTTTCTGGTGACAAGAATTTTGCAAGAATTCAACAAAATGCAGGACTCGTCGCCTCTTTCTATTGCGGCGGCTATGCATGATAATATTTTTTTATTTTTTTATTTTTATTCAAGTAAAGTAAGCTTGATGATCTTTCCCTTTCAATGTTATATTGTTGGTTATAGCAACGCTTCTCCTTCTCCTTCTCCTTCTTCTTCTTTCTCGTGTTGTTCGTAATTTTTTTACTTGATTTATACGACAACCTTCTAGTGATATAGCCAACCAATGTGATACACGTGTTGGATGGTAATTAATTTACAAATAAAAATAGAGGGCTCATAATTGCTTTATTTTTACCAAACACTAGTTGGCAAATTGGATTTTCTTTTTTACTGTGTGGGTGGTGCGAGTATATAATGTTTTCAGGTCCCATCCACAAATGGATTTTTTATTTTTTATTTTTTATGACTATGCTGCCAAACTTTGCTTTCACCTTTTTATTCCTTTCCTAGCATAAAGAACTATGTTAATGCCTTCCTTCATTCTCTCTCTGTTGTATTATTTAATTATTTATATATAATAATTAAGAATATTTTCGAATCATCAAATTCTCTTCTAGTGTTATTATTTTTTTAAAACCTACCTTTTCTCCATGATGACTAAATCAAATTATTTACGAAAATAATTTTTACTTTTCTTTTTTCGAAAGGTCTAAATATCTCCATCAATAACTCAAACAAAAATATTTGAAAAAACCCAAAAATACTCATTAAATTGCGTGTCCGTTAAAAATTCAATAAACGTTCCGTTCCAATATTTTCCTCGCATTTAAAGTTTAGCAAAAATGCAGCAACGAATTAACTATTTCACCGTTACATAACCTTCTTAGCAATAACGTTGAGGGAGAAAAAAAAAAAGAACCTTCTACTAGATAGTTATTAACCGATTCCAGAAGGACTTTTTCAAAACAATACAAATACATGGGGATAAGACTGAAAATTGAAGAAATCCGACGTCATGGCGGCAACTTGCGTCAAACTTTCCGTCAAAACTTAACACCCTTTCCCAGAATAGAGGTTAAACTATAGTTTGGTCCCCGTATATTTTAGCTATATAGCTATTGTAGATTAAAAATTCTTAATGCTAATTTTCTAGTTTTCTATAAACTCAAATACCCCCTTATACGGTTAATTTTTTCTTCTTTTTCATGTTTTAGCTAAAGATATTTTATTTCATTTTGATGATCGGAGAATTATTAGACTAATCATTGTATAAGGAAGTATTACTATCAATTACGGTTAACTATTTAACAACAAAACACCACATGAAAACCATTTGGAAACTCGCAAGACAGCTATTGAAAACTTTTAATCTATATAATAACCAAAGTGTAATATTGTGACATTTACAAGGACTAATACATTTCATCCATAAAATACCTTTAACTATCCGTTGCCTTCTAGTAACTAAAACCAAACGAAACAGTGTACATAATCTCTACTTCTCGAACTTCAGTTTTCTTTCTTTCTTTTTTTTTTAATAAAAAGGTGATGAATACAAACAAAATACATAACATAAAACTCACACCGACGCATGCATACACCACACCACCCACAATGCCCACACAAACACTGTCTCTCTCTTTTCTGCTACAATACAAACGACGACACATTCCCCGCTGGCAAAAAGATTCCCCTCCCTCCTTCCTCCTCCATCTTTCTCTTTCTCCCCGCTTCTTCCCTTATCTTTCCTTTCTCAAACCCTAATCATTTTCGTTTTCATTTTCTCTCCAGCCAAACACTCTTTCCCAATCACCATCAATCTATTCTAAGTAACATCCTCTCTGTAACTACTACCTGTAATTAAAAATAATTATAATAATTAATTTTAGTAATATAATTGTTATAAATTTCATTTTATTTGTTTCGAATGGGTTGTGCTACATCGAAACTCGACGATCTGCCAGCAGTTGCGCTATGCCGTGACCGTTGTGCTTCTCTAAGTGAAGCTATTCAGCAGCGGTTTGCTTTGGCGGAAGCTCATATGGATTATATCCATTCGTTAAAGAGAATTGGTGATTCGCTACGTGTTTTTATTGAGCAAGAGAATTTTAGTAGTTCTGGTGGCGCTGGTGTTCCGTTGTCTCCTAAACTGAATTTACATCCGAATAAAAAAGGTGAGGATTTCAGAGTCGTTGGATCGAGTTCGCCTAAGAAAGGTCATCATCATTCTCATTCTAATTCTGGCTCTCATCTTCATTTTCATTCGGACGAGGATGAGGATGATGATGATGATGATATTTTGCATCTTCATCATTCTGATAACTCCTCGCCGTTACATAGTCACGGCGAGGAGGGGGTGGTGGTGGTGGAGGAGGTCTTCAGTATATGAGCTCGGACTATATGAATATGGATCAAGATTCATTTCCGGGCGGAGGTGGCAGGTTTTTTCATATGAATTATATGAAGAACAAGGGCAGCACTCCGTCTGTTGTTTATGAGCAAAGGCCAGTGAGCTCTGAGACTGTTCATTTTGGTGAATCTTCGTCCTCTGCTGATTATAATAATTATTCGAATAGCGGTTATGGGATGAGTAATTCGAGCCCTTATGGTTATTCTGGATATCCAAATTATGGTGGTGGTTATTATAAGTCTGGGAATCAGTTTGGATCTTCACCTCCACCTCCTCCGGCAGTGGCTTCCTCTTCGAAGCCACCTCCGCCGCCGCCTTCTCCTCCACGAGCTTCAGCTTGGGATTTCTTGAATCTGTTTGATAGTTATGATAGGAGTTATCCACAGTACACGCCAAGTAGGAACTCGAAGGAGTTGAGAGAAGAGGAGGGGATTCCGGATTTGGAAGATGAGGATTACCAACATGAAGTTGTCAAGGAAGTTCATGGGGATCCGAAGTATATGGATGGGGCTAAAAGTTCTTCAAAATCACCTGTAATCGACGATGAGGATGGTAAGGCTGGAGGTGAGACTGAAGTGTCTGTTTCGCTTTATCAAACTAGGCCCAGCGTGGCTACGGAGGAAGATAGATTGGAGTATGGGGTTGATGTGGTGGATAAGAAAATTGTTGATAATGAGAGGTCCGAGGATCGAAGCAATGCCGGATATATGGGCCGAGGAGGCGGGCCACTGGAAGTGGCTATTGAAATTAAGATTCAGTTTGAGAGAGCTTCAGAGTGTGGGAATGAAATTGCGAGGATGCTTGAAGCAGGAACGCTCCGTCATCAGCGCAAACACGGTAGGTGTGAAAAGATGATAGATTGCTCATAACTGTGATCTGTATGTGTTGTTTTTCTTTTGGTGCCTTATTTATAATCGTATATGTGGAAGTAAAGACGGTTTTTTTTTTTTTTTTTAAATGCATTATTGTTCTTATGGGTTTTTGTGGATCCTTGTGAAGCAGTTTCCAAGATGTTGCAAGGAGTCGCTCCTCCATTATCTGTATTATCTTCACAGCCTTCTACTTCTGGAAGTGCTGAGGCTGGTCTACCTTCCTTGGAGATTGATGAAGAATTGATGATGAGGTCGAAAAATCTTTCTTCGACCTTACATAAGCTATATCTTTGGGAGAAGAAGCTCTATCAAGAAGTTAAGGTGCGCTCTGCTTTATTCTTTGCAATCATTAACTGTGAATCATCCTATCGATTAAATTGCTTCAAGCTGCTCACTTTATTGAACATTCAAACTTTTTCAATATATTCTACATAATATCTACGTGGTTACTGATCTGTTATTTTTTTTTAATTTTTTCCCCCTCTTTCATATACAATGTAAAGAATCAATTTATGTCCAATCCGGTTCCTTGAGAATCTGATGAATCGCCCAAACATGCTTTTACTTGTCTTTGTGTTTCCAGCAATGATGAGACATGGTCATTGTTATGATTTTTCTTGGAAGTCTTGGTAAAGATCGCATTTAACCTTTTCTTTCCCCCCTTTGGAAGTACATTCTTAATATGTTTTCCTATGAATATCTTCTTTTTTCCAACAAGGAGTAGAACTTACCAACCAAGCTGTACTATCTCTCTCTGAATATTATTACGGTTCACTTCAGTAAACATATTGCTATATCAGGAAGTTCAAATAGCTACTTCCCATGTGATGCACGTTACTTGGTCTTATGACAGTATTCTGCTTTTGGTGGAATCTGGAATTATGATACTGATGTACTTGGTATTCTGTTGATCTATTTCACTGAATAGTTGTCTTTGAGCTGAAGAACTTGAAGTTTCATGGTTTTGCTTTTGCAGGCCGAGGAGAAAATGCGGGTGGTTCACGAGAAAAAGTGTCGTAAGTTGAAGCGGTTAGACGAGAGGGGTGCTGAAGCTCACAAAGTTGATGCAACTCGAACTTTAATCAGGAGTTTGTCAACAAAAATAAGAATGGCAATTCACATTGTAGACAAGTCATCGGTTACAATAAACAAGATTAGGGATGAAGAGCTATGGCCACAACTAAATGAATTGATTCATGGGTATGCTAATATGCGGCTTTATTTTAAGAACCATTTTTCTATTTAGCTGCTTCCCATCTTACTATGTGCTGTGTACTTTTCACTATTGATTATCAGTGCTCACACTAATTGGGCTGATTATGATGCTAATCTTTCCATTTTATTTTTCCATGTCGGTGTGTATTTCACTATTTTTGTAGAATTACGTAATCTATATCCATACGCGCATGGGATTTGTTTTGCTTATGGGGGCAATGGGCATGATAGGATCGATAGTTAGTTGAGGCAAGCTGTTACTTGTAGGTGACTTTGGAGTGCATTAGAGTTCCTATAGTAACTTCACAAGTGTTCTTCAAAACCAGAGTAAAAATTATTTATAAAATCTAGGTTCTTTCTTTTCAATGTCAAATGTCTCCAGGTTCTTATACTCAGAGGGTAGTGTGTGCCCTATTTCAATGATGCTTGATCTAGCTAGCAAAAGCTCTTGGTAAAATGTGGGCTATTTATTAGCAATCTAAGACATCTGAAGAGGCTAAAGTGTTTAGACTTTCCTCGTAGAGCGAGCAACAAGGACATCCTTAACAAGGATATATCTGGACTGGGTGACAAACTTAGAATTTAAAAACACGAGTCAGAGATGGAGGGATTTCTTTGGAGTGCAAATATGAGTGCTGTGGGCTTTAAACACGTGTATTTTGTCATTTTTTTAAGTAACTATTATTGGGCATTTGTTCAGTGTAGCAGGAGGAGTTTTATAATTAGTTTTGTCGGAGGAGGGTTAGTGTAGGAGTGGGAGGTCCTTAATCTATTCTGAAAACAGGCAGAGGTGTTTTTAAGCTTTATGTGGGGTAAGCAAGTCTAATTTTCTTTACTTAAATATATTTTGCGACGCTGAAGGCAGAAATACTCACATGTACAACTTAGAAGGTTTTGAGTGTAGGAACCAAATAACTTCTTGGACCAAAGATATTGGCTTTCTTTTTCTCTCATGGTGTTTGAGGCTCACACCTAATTGACTATGCTTATTGTTGAAAACTTCATTTTGTCATTAATGAATCTGGATTCTAACATACTCATGAGCTAAACTTGGTTAAATATATACATTAGGCAGGGGACCACATGGAAATGTAAAATCTTCCTCAGTTAGTAATTGATGGAAGAAGTCTGTTTAGTGTCGGAAGCACTGTTATTGCAGTCCTTCCTTTATGGTCTGTAGATGTGCTAGTATCAATAGATACAGTGATACAACTACTTCAAGGGAGGTAAGTTTAAAAGATTCCAATTGGACAAATTTGAATTTATTAGTTGTTCTTCAATATGCCTAATCATTTAGAAGCCATGATTTAATTTACATGCTTACTAGAGGAGATAAGTTGGCAGTTTGAAGGCTAAAGAAAGGAATTGGTTTTTATCAGTGAACTGTACGCTAGTCTTGTATATATGGGTAGGTGCACATGATGGTTATGATGTTTGCATTAACTGCATGCTCCGCAGGATCACTACCACATCCACAACAATAACCATGATGCCTTAATCACAAACAGCAGGCAAACCAGAACTAGGCTAAAATGATTTCTATGGAAAGGGCTTGTAGATTGCATTGTAGTTGATTAAGCATAAGGAGTAAACCGTTCTAGATTACTTCTTCTATTATAATGGCTTTCAAGTGATTCCTTTAAAAATTCTTCTTATGCATAAATGTGACACTCTAGGTGCATATCATTAGCCTCTTCCGTGGATGTTCAATAGTTTCTGACCCCAACTTCCATGCGGATGTTTTCTTTAATAGAACTTAATGGTTCATGTTTATCCTTAGTCTTGATGGTGGTTTTTGTGCCATTTATGTTTTCAGGTTAACCAGAATGTGGAAGAGTATGCTTGAATGTCATCATAATCAGTCCCAAGTAATTAGAGAAGCCAGAGGCTTAGGTCCCATTGGATCAGGTAAAAAGCTCAGTGATAATCATCTAAATGCCACACTGCAGCTGGAGCGTGAGCTTCTTATTTGGACTTCCAGTTTCTCTCGTTGGATCGGTGCCCAGAAAGGTTATGTGAGAGCCTTGAATAATTGGCTTCTCAAGTGTCTTCTATATGAACCAGAAGAAACACCAGATGGCATAGTTCCTTTCTCTCCTAGCCGGATGGGTGCACCCCCTGTGTTTGTAATCTGTAATCGATGGGCACAAGCTATGGATAGAATATCTGAAAAGGAAGTAATCAAAGCTATGCGTATTTTTGCAATGAGCATTTTTCAACTGTGGGAGCATGACAAACTAGAAATGCGTCAGAGACTGGCAACAAACAAGGATTCGGAGAGAATAGTGAGGAACTTGGATAGGGAGGATCAAAAGATACAGAAGGAGATCCAGGCATTAGACAAGAAAATTGTCCTGGTTGGTAGGGATGGTACTGGAAGCATTGTATATCAAAGTGATACTAGTAATAGTAGTCTCCAGGGGAGTCTGGAACGCATTTTTGAGGCCATGGAGAAATTCATGGCCGATTCAATGAAGGCTTATGATGAGCTTGTGCAGCTTATTGAAGAAGAAAGGCTTGCTGGAGATCGTGAAAGAGTTTCATAGTGCTGCATGGTGCAATTCACTTTCAGTTTCCTTTTTATTCATGAGCTTGCTTGGTGTCTGAAACTTGCAGCCCTATGAGAACCTTCATAAGGTAGAGGATCTTCTAGAATCCATGATAGTGGATCAACTGGCTCAGTCCTTACTGGATTTTTCTTGCTCCAGTGGTTCATAATGGACTGCTCCAGGTTGTTCCAAGTCTTCAACTGGGGGCCAGCCATATTTGGTGGCTTAGGTTTGGGAGGATCGCCAAGTTTGTGGGTAGAATCATCCCCCCTCACCTCTGAAGAATTTAATTGCATCATGAAAACAATTGCAATTGAATAAGAAATTTGCAAGTGACACAAAAGGGCAGCAGGCAGTAAGTTCATGATGATATGAAACCAAATCGAGCCATGCTGGCATTCACGACATTTTGGCATCGAGCGGTAGCTAAGGAACAAGCTTTGAAAAGTTAAGGAAACCATGGATCTGCGACCTTGTTACCTGAGTAAAGGATGGTTCCCCTCTATTTTGAATGAGGATGAGTTTCTGTAGCTTCACGGGCTTGTCCGACGCAAGTCATGGAAATGCCCAGAGATATCAAATGTATGGTAAAATAACTTCTTTCTTTTTGAATATTTATTCATACTATTAATTTTTGTACATGCCTTTTCAATGAAATGCTTTCAATAAATAGCATTGTTCAACGTTGTTGGAAAACACAACACTTGGGCAGACAAAGGATTAAGTGCAGTTTCTGGCTGTTTTAAATTGCAGGGCTGTATATGCTTAAGCCCCTGTCCTAACACAGGCACAAGTTATACAGCTCTGGACCTTTATCCTTGTTGGCTGGTCCTACACTGATGGCTCATTTTTTCTCATTCCAGGCAATGCTGACATGCAACAAGCGGTCTTGTATGCTTTGCACTTAAATACAGCTCTCTTTTAACTTTTTGAAAGAAATAGGCTAAACGGGTCAAATCATGCTCGTTTAAAATTAAATATTTTAATTTTAAATTTGGTTTTTGGAATTTTTAATTTTTTGAAACATCAAAAAATAAAAATCACATAATTAACTTTACAATGAAAATTATTCGATGAGAGTTGAACTAGGTTTTTCAAAAAATTAGAAGTCATTTTGAATTATTTTTTATTTTTTAACATTAAAAAAATATATTTTTATATTTTAAAAAGTTTTGGGATTTTCTTTTTTAAAATAGATTGGAAGTTTTTCTATGTGTACAAAACTTTAACCCAAAATACCGACCATTGATTTTTCGAAAGGGAAGGGTGATAATTGAAAATTATTTGATGAATTAAATTTAAACAAATTAAAAGTTCACGAATTTTAAAAATCAAATTTAAAGTTTAAAAATCAAATTTAAAGTTTAAAAATTTAATTTCCAGTGAGTTAAAATAGAGAGAAGGATTGATCTATCTAGCCCAAAAAAAAAAAAGTGTTTCAACTTTCAACCGTGAAAGAAACCTGTAAATGCCATTGTTTAGGTGATAGACTAGCCAAATGTGTCAGCTTCCCTCTGCATGGCTGAGGGTGTTATTTGTTCAAAATTTTTAATAAATTATAAAAAATTAAATCACCACTAATTTGAAAAAGTATTGATTTTAATTATGAATAAATATCCGAAAAACACATCATATTGATAAGAATTAAATATCAAATTGATACTTTTATGAAGGAAAAGCTATTTATACTTAATGAATTATGAAGGCATCAAAACTTTTTGAGTTTGCATCTTTAATGTCAACAAAATTTATTTTTATTCACATTTAAATAACAGATAACCAAATCAATTTTCGATTTTTATCTTTAAAACGAAGCTCCAATCTAATTTTATCATCTATTAATTAGTTTTAAATATTTTTTTTTACTCACACGCCTAAGATTTCTAACAAACTCTGATAGGATTTGAATCCTTAACATCTTACTGTAAGAGACTATTATTACTGGGCTATAAGTTTTTTGATATTAGTTTTAAATACTTACAATCGATTTCCAAAGTTTAAATTTCTGCAATAGAGGTTGAGATATGTTTATTGCTGACAACATTCTCATGACTTTCTCTCTCTTTTTTCGTTTCTCCAAGCACTTACTCTTTTTATAGGAAAAGGAGAGTAACGGATTTTTTTGAACATTTAGTTATTTATTAATGGGATTGAAATTAACATTGTACAATGAAAAAATTAAAATGAAAATTGAACCAAAACGATGCGTTTTGCTATAATTTTTGAGCGAAAATGATGCTGTTTTTATAGAAGGATTACTGATCATTTTAAACAGTGAAAAACCTCATATTAACGTTGTTAAATGGAAAAAAAAATTAAATAAATAAACCAAAACGGTATCGTTTTGCTACCCTCTTTGTTCAAAAACGACACTGCTTTTATAAAGCGATTACTATTTATTCCGAACAGTAAAAAAAATTATAATAATCAAGGAATAAATAGTATATATGCTTGTTATAAACTCATTTTTGAGGAAAGATAGACACTAAAAAAGAGTCACATCCAAATTTATTAAAAATGAAAATTTTTTTTTATCTTGACTCAATTTTTTTAAAATTTTTATTTATTTTTTTTTCCATCTCTCTATAGAATAGATTATTCTTTCTTTGAGTATTATAAAATTCATAATAAAAAAACTCTCAATTTTTATTTTTTTATGAATCGAAGAGGTACGATTCTTCATCATCCATTCATGACTCAGCTTCAAATAATTGAGGCCTATCTTGACACTATGTGTGTGAAAGACTGAAGGCGACGAGGACAGTTTGGCTCTGATACACAGCAGTTTGCTATGCATGCTGTCCTGCATGCATAGTATAGCCTCAGTTCCTCGAGTCAGAAAAAGCTTTTGTAAGTGAAAAATTGGAGTGATTATCCTCGTGCCTTTGGGCTGCTGACACAATTGTACACTCGTGCGAGCATCAAAATAACCGAGAGATCAGTAAATTCAAGGTGTAAAAAGAAAGAAAATCTGTTGCTTGACACCTTTTGTAAGTGAAAAATCAGAAAAAATACAAAAAAAGCACTGTGTAAATAGATTGTAGACATGATTTATCACGACAGAAAATCTGAAAAGGATGGATACCTTCAAAATCTCGTAAAAGGTGGCATATATTCGGTTTTTGGCCAACTTTGAGTATCTATCGTTTTTTTCATTTTCAACCCAAAAGAACACACTATCGTGGTCCACCCAGATGACCTAATAGCGTCTCCTATCATGAAACAAAGAGAACTATAAATTAGTCCTTTTAGTTTTGAAAATCTAATTAATTAGTTCTTCTCATTTAAAAAATTAATTATTTTACTTTTTAATCAGTATTGATTATGTTTAGTTTGTATTAATTGCATATGTAAGTGGTAAATATCCTTTGTTAAAAAACAGGAGAAAGAGAGAGATGTTTATGCATAACATAGATGCATAATTCATTAGTCTAGACTTTTGGATTAGAAATAATGTTTACTTTTTTATGTAAGTCCTTGTACGTAGAGGTCCAATAGAAATGCAATGGTCTCTGTAATAATTTGATATTTTTATTGTTTTATTTAGAAAAAAAAATCTTATTTTGTCATCAATCTTTTTAATATTTTTATTTTTAATGAAAATAAATTGAAAAATAAAAAAATGATAAAATTACACAAAAAAATTGAAATATAGAGATTAAATAACTAATATTTAAAGTAAGAAGGACTAATTTTTTTTTCTCAAAAATAGGTGGACTAATTTATAATTTACTCATGAAATAAATAGAATGAACACCTTCTTTGGGTTATGGTTGGATTGGTTGGTTTTGATGATTGAAAATGATGGAAGTGGACTTCTGGTATTTTCATGGGTCTCTATCGATTCGAACAATACAAGTCGTCTATTCATCTTTGCATTTTGGATCGCCCCACATGTTGCTTCGAACTTCTGCGACAAGTAGTCTCCTTCGATCTCTCCTTTGACTTCCCTCCCAATTCCCATTCCCCTTCCAAGCTGTAGTTATACAATGAATTTGAGTCGTCCAATAATTGTTTGCCAAATATGGCTTATCATCAATGGTATACATTTCTCGGAATTTTCTTCTCTTGGGTTGCTCCCGAGGGCCATAGAAAATTGACAACTTTCGTTGATTTATAATGAGAAATAGATTTTTTTCTTAGACTTTTATTCCATATACCATATCGAAAAGAAATGATTTGAACAACTGTCTATCCAAATAAAGATTATTTTCAACGAGGGAACTTTAGCACATAATTTCTATCTAAATCGTGCAAGACTTGGACGTACATTAACAGATCTTATGGATATATATATATATATAAATATTTGTGGATCTAATCGATCTAACTTTGGTAATAACTTAACGTTGTTAAATTGATTGACACTTTAACACCTACTTTCCTGCTAATTTTTCAGAGTTAGGTACGGTGAGGTGGCTTATAATGATTTGTACAAAAAGATTTAAGACCAGATAATGGCAGAGAATATATGCCTTCAATCATTTTATGCATTTTAAGTGACACGATTCGCATCAAAAGCAAATAAAAATTACATAATGACACTGTTGGGTATCTAACGATAAAATCCAATCAGAAGAACACAGGACACAAAAGTGCCCCAAATATTTCTCTGCCTGTCTTAGTTAACCCTGAGCAGAGATTCAGTCGAAGGATGGAAGAGCTTATAATTATAATCAAATGTTAGTTGTTTTCTATAAAAAAAAAATATAAATTTAAATCTTAATATATTAGTTTTTTTAAAAAATTTTGATGTGTGAGTTATAAAAAAAAAAAATCAATAGTAAGAATTTTTAATTAAAAGTTTAAGATTTAAATCTCACTTTTTATGTTTTTTTTGTATGACCAATATAAATTTTATATCTATTTTTCTAATTTCAAAAACACGAAGGATTTAAAATCCTCGAATTTAACAGCAATTTGTATCCGCTAAAAATAATTGAAAAATCACGAGTTTTTGAGTTATATATATATATATATATATACACACGTGCGTAGGTCACTGATCTTTCTGCCTAACAAAAACTGTCCAGGCATATGGGAAAGAGATGTATCATTTGGTTCTATTAATACTCCAACACTTTTCGAGATAACATTCTAGATTACACCATGATATGGGTGGTTTTTTTCATTGATATAACTGAAATAATTTAATTCCTATATTGAGTGATATTGAATTATGAACGATGATTTTACTCAATTATAGAAATTAATTAATTATATAAGTGAAGACTTTTTATTTATATCAGTTAATGTATTTCCTTAGAACACATGTTGGAAAAACTAAAAAATGAGTACATAGAATCAGAAAACTAGTTGAGAAAATGAACAAAAACGAAGTCAGATTTGAATCTGATCTGAAATTATTTGATGAAAAAAAGAAGAGATAGAATCATAAAAAGGATCGAATCTAGTAATTTAGTCGAAGAATCAACGACAACTAGGGTTTTTATTTTTAGAAAAAGAGAAAGAAGGGAAAATAAATAAATTTGTATAAGAATTCAAAACATCCTTTATCATAAAAATAGATACATTAAGCTTAAAAAAATGTACGAATCTTATGAAAATGATTTTCCATACAATTTTTCCCCTCGTGGTAAAAAAAAAAAAAAATCTGAAACAAATTGAATCTCTCCCATTCCTAATTTTGTAATTTGGAGGGTTGGTGTGGTTGGCAAATAAATATATATGTCCGCTATTTTATTAATCAAGGTTTAATTCTTATAAAAAATATTTTTTATTATACATGTACGCTGATTATTTTTTAAATATTATAAAATTTATTAAAAAAAATGAAGATAAATAAATGTGCGTATAAGAATTCAAAACACCTTTTATGGAAAACATAGATACATAAAAATGATTTCAATACAATTTTTTCCCTTGTGGTAAAAAAAAAAAAAAAAAAAAAATTCTGAAACAAATTGAATCTCTCCCATTCTTAATTTTTGTAATTTGAAGGGTTGGTGTGGTTGGAAAATAAATAAATAGGTCCAATATTTTGTTAATCAAGGTTTAATTCTTGTAGAAAATGTATTTTCTCATAATTTTTTTTAATATCAAGAAGAGAAACCGAATCTTACTCCCCAACTTTCCTCCTCATTTACCCAACATAGATTTATCCGTTCTAAATTTTTTTACCCCTCAAAACATTTGAAAACTGGAGTTAAAAGTAAAAAGTTAACTACTAGCATTAACATTCCGGTACTGTTAAAATTAGGAAGCCCTCCCCTTTATTACCACAAGAAGCAAGACATCAAATGAAAAAACACAACAAAGGATCAAAGAGAAAGAACACAACACAGCAACAGACAACAACTTCTTCAAACTAAACAAAATAAAAAGACATCCGTAAACCTCCTGTAATAATAATAATAATAATAATAATAATAATTCTTTCACCTCTCTTTCTCTCTATCCAGAGCCAAACCAAAATAAAGAAAGAAAGAAAGCAAGAAACCCTCTTCCACCACCACCACCACCACCACCACCGCCAACAACAACAACACTAGTACTATCATGGGTTGTTGTACTTCTTCATTTTTAGCTGAAACTCATCCAGAAAGAGATCATAAAAAAACCCATCTACAGCAGCAGCTTCACAATCCATCAGGTTCAACTGTACTTGACCCTGCAACAGGAGTCCCTTCTTTCTGTGAATTCTCTTTCTCTGACCTCAAAACAGCTACCAATAACTTCAGTTCTGATAACATAGTCTCTGAAAGTGGCGAAAAGGCACCTAATCTTGTCTATAAAGGCAGACTTCAAAACCGGAGGTGGATCGCTGTAAAAAAGTTTACTAAGATGGCCTGGCCTGATCCTAAACAGTTTGCGGTATCCATAAAGTTTCTTGCTTTGATTTTTTTAGCTTATCAAGTTTTCTTCTTTATATGGTTACTTGATTTTTTGATGGCTTTTGCGAATTGCGTTGTTGTTGTAGGAGGAGGCATGGGGGGTGGGGAAGTTGAGGCATAAAAAGCTGGCTAATTTGATAGGGTATTGCTGTGATGGAGATGAGAGGCTGCTTGTTGCTGAGTACATGCCTAATGATACTCTAGCTAAGCATTTATTCCATTGTATGTTTTTGTGTGAGCTTTTCTTGATTTTTTATTTTTTATTTGGTTTGACTACTTTTGTTCCGTTATTTATTGCTTCTTAAAGTTTTGTTGTGTTGAACTTGAAGTATAATTATGTTAGTAGTTTGATTGGCATTCTTCATTTATGAATGAAATGATTGTTAGACTGATGGAGAGGAATTTATTTCTCTCCCTGTTGTTACATTTCTAGTTTGTTGAAATCTGGAATTGTTGTTCAAGGCTCAACTACTCTATTCAAAAATGCCAATTTAGCTCCTAGTCAATGCCTTATTGAATTTACTTACTTCAGGTAGCAGATAGAAAATGTTTTCCATGTGTTATTATAGTGTTGGGGCTGGCCCTTTTCTTTTCTTTGTAGAATGGATTTAGGTGATATAGGGTTTATGGTGTACTATAAATTCAATTGCATTGTAGTAGTTTTTGATGCCTTATTTCAAATCCTCAATAAGTTTGTTTTTTTAAATGAATAATTCCATTAAAAACAAAGAAATACTTCGATAAGAGTTAAGAATTTATGAAAGCAACCCAACACAACTCTAAAAATTAAAACATACTTAATCGAGTACGGAACTGTTAAAGTGCCTAGTGTGAAAACCCTGTTTTAGAAAGCTTTCTGTGCTGACATATCAAAGTCTAAACTCGAGTCTTTCATTCTTCACAGGGGAAAATCAAACCATTGAATGGGCAATGCGTTTAAGAGTAGCCCTCTACATTGCTGAAGCCTTAGATTATTGTAGTTCTGAGGGTCGTCCGTTATACCATGACTTGAATGCCTACAGGGTTCTCTTTGATGAGGTATTACCTTCTCTCAATTTCTAAGGACTTATCACTTAGTATCATGGTTCTTTTGTGTTCATAAACACTATGCATTTATTGCCATCTAGGGTTCTTATCAATTCTTTGTAATGGACCCTGTAGGATGGTGATCCCCGCCTTTCATGTTTTGGCTTGATGAAAAATAGCAGAGATGGGAAAAGTTACAGTACAAATCTTGCTTACACTCCTCCAGAGTATCTAAGGAATGGTAATTACTGTCAATTTTTATATTGCCAGGCTTGTTTTGTGTGTTATGATATTTTTCTTCTTTTCAAACTGGATGGCTGTTTTTGGTCGATGTGTTTGGCTCAGTGCTTCTTGTTGTTGCCATAATTTGAATGTTGTAGGAAGGGTCACGCCTGAAAGTGTTATGTACAGCTTTGGCACTGTCCTGCTGGATTTGCTTAGTGGAAAGCATATCCCTCCTAGTCATGTAAGTGGTCTATGCTCATAGCAGTTTGCATTCTGATTCAATCTTGTATGGTTCTTTCTATTTGTCTGGTTTATTACTCACCTTCAACCACAACTTCCTATCTAATGCGAGTAGGTTGTTGAATTGTAAATACCATGGTTTCTATTTAATCTACATGAAGTGATTATAAAGGGGCATGGAGAATGAGTTTTTTCAAGTTTTGAATGTCTTTATAGTGGACCTCTATAGTGGATTTGTTTTTTTTGTCTGACACAGCTTAGCAAGAATTTGCCATAGTCAAATGCATCCTCTGCATGCTACAGGTCTCAACACCGTTCTAACCTTGCACATTGATGACCTTAATGATCCAAATATCATGGTTTGATGCAATATTGAAACCAATTAAACAGCACTTCTTAACTGGTTGTAACGTTATGCACTTGTAAATATCATCCTTAATAACGAGCATGTCTCGTCTTGGCTTGCTTAAAGTGAAACATTTGACTTAATATTTCACTGCAATCAAAGATAACTTGAACCCAATCATTCATGTCTCATGTTTGAATTTGATTGAAGGTGTATTTTTCTGTTTGTGTCACCATCAGTCCAAAATGATTGGTGGGGTTAGATGTTCCGTAGTAGTCTTATTTTTGCATCTATGTTCATCATCTTTCACGATATTCAACAAAAAACATATGATATATGTTACTATGCCTTTTAGCAAAAGCATCAGGCATCACCAAAAGTTCATCTTGGTTTTGCTGGTTGCTATACATGGATCGTTTAGATACAATGTTGATATTTCTTCAAGTTTTGTCAATTTTATGAGATAGAATCTTGTGTATTAATTTCATGCTGCCACTGCAGGCTATTGATATGATAAGGGGCAAAAACATCATTCTCTTGATGGATTCACATTTGGAAGGAAACTTTTCTACAGAAGAAGCAACTCTTGTTGTTGGGCTTGCTTCTCAATGTTTGCAATACGAACCTAGGGAGCGGCCTAGTACAAAGGACCTTGTTACAACACTAGCTCCACTGCAAAAGAAACCTGATGTAAGGAAATTCAATCTATACCTTGTACATTTCAAATGCAGTGCCAGAATACTATTAGATTGTCTTTAGGTTATTTAATATTTACTCTGTCAATTTAACAAATGTCTTAAGCTTCAAATCGCTACTCAAAGACTTTCAAGTATCTTACAGCAATGAGTAAATCACATAATCTGATGTAAAGACACTGTATTCTTCTCTCTCTTTGTTTTTAATTTTTCAGAAAGGGGTTTGCATCTAGAAACAAGTACCTTAATGCCCATTCCTTTATTCTTCATATGGGATCATCTCCACATATTAGTCCCTGTTTTCTGTTGAGAAACTAATTATCATAATTATGGGTTGTCAGGTTCCATCATATGTTATGCTTGGGATATCAAAGCACGAGGAAGCCCCAGCAACTCCGCAGCGCCCCCTCTCACCAATGGGTGAGGCTTGTTCACGGATGGACCTTACAGCCATTCATCAGATCTTGGTTATGACACACTACAAAGATGACGAGGGAACAAATGAGGTAATTGTTTTAGAAAAGAAAGTCTCGTGTAGTTCTTTTCTTAAATTTATGCTGATAGGCTTTCTAAAATGTGTTTTTTTTTTCAGTTATCTTTCCAAGAGTGGACTCAACAGATGAGAGATATGTTGGAATCGAGGAAGCGAGGGGACTTTGCATTCCGTGACAAAGATTTTAAAACTGCCATTGACTGTTATTCTCAGGTATAGCTTTGAAAGTTACCTCCTTGCTCATTTTGACCTTTCAGTTGGTTGGTTATTTCTTGGACGGCTTTTTATAGCAGAACTTGTAATGCATGTTTCAAGCCCGCCTTTTCATTTTTATTCTACAGCTCCATTGATTAGATATTTGTTCATTGAGGCTGGTATTTCAAACAATTCGTTTTCATTTTTGAGTCACAGAGCATATCGTTTTTCTCAGAAAATGATGTTATATTATATATAGTATAGTTTCATGCAGTTTTCAGCAGAGCTCCCCTTTTCTCTGGGTGCCACACACAAGCATTAGTAAGACGAATAAGATTTGGAGACAACTTCATACGTTCCCATAACCTTTTGCTTTGTTTCCGATGCAGTTCATAGATGTAGGAACCATGGTTTCCCCTACTGTTTTTGCTCGGCGTAGTCTTTGTTATCTCTTGTGTGATCAACCAGATGCTGCTCTTCGAGATGCAATGCAAGCACAGTGTGTTTATCCAGATTGGCCCACAGCCTTCTACATGCAGTCAGTTGCCCTTGCTAAACTTGACATGCACAATGACGCTGCCGATATGTTGAATGAAGCTGCTGCATTAGAAGAAAAGAAACAACGAGGTGGAAAAGGATCATGAGAATAAGATATAGAATAAAAATAAATATCCTTACACCACTACCCATTATCATTGAGGCTCCCCTAAGTTTGTGTAAAATTTGAGCTGGGAATTGAATTTGTTTTTATCAATGTAATGTAGAGAAAAAAAAAAACGTGTTCATTAATGCATGTATATTTTTTCCCATTTTATTGGGGTTCTGAAGATCTGATTGTTCTCTAATGAAGCTTCTGTTGCAATTTTTTCAATGAGCCTGGTCTCTGGAAACATGTTATGTGGAGAAGGCCAATATCCTTTAGGTGGGCTTGGGGTTTACTCATATTTATAGGTTTGTTCCTCAGCTGTTGATTCTTTTACAAATACTTTTCATTAGCAAAGAATGATTTTCAATTATTTTTCAGTTACTGATCGCAAATAATAAGAAAGTAGGCTCTAGTTTTGATCATGTGCCATCCTCGTCAACCATTAATGGTGCTAAAATGTTTCTGAAACAAAAAATGGCATCCCCGATGTCTACGCTATGTCTCTTGCCCATTAATTCACCAACTCATTGCCATATTATTTTCAGTTTTAAATCACAACTCCATGAATTATATAAATCTTGAAGGAAACACACGAGTGCATGGAGATTTATTAATGCATAGAATATTGAAGTTCTTGCAAAGCCTGCTATGATACAGGAAGACAGGATCTGCATATATGCTTGGATGATTCCATTTTCCTCCTAACGGACAGCGATCTCATTTTCCATTTTCTCCCAATGGTCTAGCTATCATGTCACTGTAATCAGTTTCTTTTATTGTTTTTTAATCATATACATGCTCTGAAAAATGTTTTGTTGCGCACATTATACCAATGACTTGATGGTTGTTCTGAGTTAAGACAGTAATTTTTATTATTTCAAAAACATATTTACTATGGTTTGAATGATTCATTTGGCAGTTTCGTTGTGATTAATCTGTGCTGTAATTTATATTTTTAAAGTTTTGCTTTATATCACATTCCTTTCTCTACTTCTGACAGTAATTGTTTATTTTTTGTTCCTGCTAAAAAAACCAGCTATGGTAAATGCAAATTGAGGTAATTAAACAGGAAAAGATAAAACAGAAATGCAATATGTAGTGGAAGATATCATCATCATCTGGATTCATTATCTATCTTTGGAATACCAAATATATATTTCAATAATGTACAAGTATTGACCAGATCAAAATTGTTCAGGCTTTAGTGATTTAGGATGTTTAGAAGGGAGACTCTAGCTTCGATCAAATGGCTGATGAGGCCCTCTAGAACTTCTTCAAGATCTTGAATGCACAACTCTAAGTTCTCCAGTTGGCTTTGCACACCCTTGATGCTATCAGATTTGCATGTGTTGTGATCTACCAGAGATAGCAATGCAGCATCCACTTCAGCGAATTCATTTATACCAGTTTCTTCTTCTGCAGATGGTACCTTTTTGGGGTGCACCAGCTTGGAGACTAATGACCAACCTGCAGACTTCGTCTTTGGTCCAGAGATGAAAGAGAGCAAGGATTCAAAGACATTGAGAGATGTTGCTTGAACCTCTTTTAACATGTTAAAGATGGTTGTAGTTTCTTGGTCTCCATTAGAGGAAGAGAAGGTGCATTTGTTTTGCTTAACCTTCAAGGCCTTGTGAATTGCCCTTTTTCACAACCTTCCTGGAGGTTAAATATTTCTTAACCTCACTTGTCTGATCAATTTCACCACAACCTCTCCTGCGTAAAATCAATTGAAGTCCATGTAAGCATTCTTTTGTTTGCAACAAGGCATCCTTCGCAGAATTACACAAATCCAGGACCTGAAGAGATCCATCTAATAGCTCATCAACCCATTTCTCATTATTCTCTTGGGCCATGGCTTGTTGGATGAGTTGTAAAAGAAGTACCTTGCTGATACAATCATGCAAATCCTGAAGGCTACTTAATTTGCCGCCGAAGGATGATGAGGTAGAGGCATCTTCAGAAGCCCTCAATCTGCACAAATGATCGTCAAGCAGGGAGATGACTGGGTTTGGTCTAGAGGGAAAACTGTTAGGGCGAGCATGGAAGCCTGTTTTTGAGTTAGAAGAAGAAGCCATTTTTGTTTTTCAAAGGGGAGACTAAAGCAGGTGAATGTGAATTATCAGTCCTGCAATTTGCCTTTCTTGTTTCAGCATTGCCTAAATATATATCATGGAGTTAGGGAGACAAGAGGAATCTCATTTACTCGATCTCCATTTGGATCTAAAATTCATATCAGCTATATATGTTTGTCAATGCCTCCTCCCTCGTCACATCTCCAACTCATAAGACAAACACTATAGCCCATTAACAGAAGACATGGTATAGTACTGACCCTAATTATTGCACACGAGTAGCGTTGACACCAATTTCCTATAGGTAGAAGTGGCCTGGCATTTGTCCAATTTTTCGGACAAATCTGCACGAGTGAACTGTCTCCAAATCAAATGCTCATATAAAAATTCATGCAAACGTGCAAATTGTTTATAAAATTCTCAAATCATAGGTCTGATTGTTGGTCAACTGGTAGGCAAGATCCGCATACATGATTTGGTGATGCCACTCTGCTAATTTAGAATTTGGATATTACTCTCTGGCCAGTGATTACCTATTTTCAAAAATTTTATCTGTTTGAGACAATACAGCCTTGACAGCAACAACACTGATGTAAATTTCAAGAAAATTAATTAGTTGTATTGCATTCATTAAATTATTGGCATAATATTTAATTTCATAACTCTGAGATTACTTCCAAGTTGCAATAGAAAATTACTAATTTGTTTTCCCAAAATAACTTGAGCTTTCCTGTTCATACCTCATCAAGCCACCAGGCATTAAGAAATTCAATATTCAGATGTTTGCATTCAATTTTTTTTTCTTTTTTATTTTCAACTCATGTTAAACTGATTTATTTGATTTTATGGGACGAGATCGGTTCTATTTTTAAGTAAGTGGAAATTAAATGGATGTCATAAAAACACATCATAAGGGACACATAAATCTGAAAAAAAGTAAGGGAATTAGTATCAAAAAATATTTACAAGTATATTTCATTCATTGAAAAAGTATGATTTTCAATGATTTTTCAGGCTATACTAATTGAAATTATTGAGAAAGGAGGCTCTAGTTTTTATCATGCGCCTAAAGAGGCCTTCAATTCCATCTTCAAGATCTTCAATGCACAAATCCAAACTGTTCAGCTTCTTTTGCACATTCTTCATCTCATCTGTTTTGCAACTGATAAGAGATTCCAACGCAGCATCAGCCACTGCAAATTCATTCACATTTGTTTCTTCTTCCTCGCAAGCTATTTTTTGGTGGTGTATCAGCTTGGAAACCAATGACCAGCCGCTTTTCTTTGCTTGTGACTTTGGTTCAGAAATGAATGATAGCAATGATTCGAACACGGTGAGACTGATGGACTTAACCTCTCTTAACATGCCAATCATGGCCACAATCTCAGGGTCTTCATTAGAGAAGGTGCACGTGTTTTCTATGCCCTTCAAGCTCTTCATGGCCTTTTTTATTGCCTTCTTTACTACTTTCCTGGATGCTGTGTATTTCCTGATCTCACTGTCAAGACCTTCTTGTCTTCTTCGAATAACCGATTGAAGCTCACGAATGTATTCTTTCGATTGCATTAGTGCATCCTTGGTAAAGTTGCACACATCCAAGAGCCTAAGAGATCCATCTAGTAGGCCATCGACACATTTATGATTGTGTTCACGTGCTAAGCATCGTTGTGTAAGTGGCAGTTGTAGGAACTTATCAACAGAATCATACAAATCCTGAAGGCTACATAGTTTGTGGCCTATTGATGATGATGATGAAGAGGTGGCCTGTGAATCTCTTACTCTGCAAATATGCTCATCAAATTCAGAAATGATTGGGTGTGGTCTAGAGGGTAGACTGTTGGATCGAGCATGGAAGCTGGTCTTGGAGCAGATAGGAGAGGCAACCATTTTTCTTTCTCGGAGAAGAGAAGTTTTGATGATTGAAAATATGGATTCAATTCAATGTGCTTTCCATCTGTTGGCATCTACAGAATATATATTGGGGTGAGGGAGACATGAGGAATCTCATCCTCGTCCAACTATTAATGGTGGTAACATTTTTCTGAAAAATGGCATCCCCGATGTCTATGCAATGTCTCCTGTTCACCAATTCAGCATTCAATACTATATAATTATTTGAAGTTTTGAATCACAACTCTCTGGAGTTGAATACTATTATTGCATCTGCAACACACGAGTGGTGTTTTATTAATGCATACAATGTTTGGTCCTGAAATCTGTGTTGTGAAACAGGAAGACAAGATCCGCATCCTTGGCTTCAGTATCTCTAGCCAAATTGTGGTTTAATGATAAGAGCTGCAGGTAATGACTCAATAACTTGCTGGGTGATTCCATTTCCCCCTTAACCGAAAGACAGCCATCTATTTTTTCATTGCCTTCGTTATGAAGAGATTTGAGTCTACCATGTGAGTGCCGTTAATTAATTTCATGTGGTGCTTGATGATTAAGTTCAGACAGTATAATTTGATATTATAAGAAGCAATTTATTTATGATTCTACCTTGTAGTTAATCTGGATCAGACCCTTGCATCTTGCAGGACCCTTATATTTTTAAAACGTACTACATCTGTTTTTTGTCCCCTATCATCAACATAGATGTGATGATCCCAAAAATAAAATAAATTTGGTAATTCAATTGAAAATTGCGCTTTCATTCAACTGCTAACAAAAAGATGCTACGGTAAATGCAGAAAAAGTAAAACCTGAAAAGATAAAAAAAGAAAACTAAACTGGGAAAAGAATTTGAGCAACTGAGCATATGATTTCATTATCTTTGGAATGATAAATACATGTATATACAACGTACAGGTATGACTATATCCAAATTGTTGAGGCTAATGGTTTAGGATGTTGAGAAGGGAGACTCTAGTTTTTATCAAATTCCTGAAAAGGCACTCAAGACATTCTTCAAGATCTTGAAGGCACAATTCTAAGCTCTCCAGGTGGCTTTGAACACCCTTGATGCTATCAGATTTGTTTATGTTCTGATCTACCAAGGCAAGTAATGCTTCATCCACTTGAGCAAATCCATTTATTTCAGTTTCTTTGTCTGCAGATGCTACTTTTTTATGGTGCACCAGCTTGGAGACTAATGACCAACTGGTAGTCTTTGCCTTTGGTCCAGAGATGAAGGAGAGGAGGGATTCGAACGCTTTGAGAGAAACTACTTCAGCCTCTTTCAACATGTTAAACATGTTTGTCGTTTCATGGTCTCCAGTAAAAAAGGCGGTTTTGTTTTGCATACCCTTCAAGGCCCTGCGAATTGCCTTGTTTACTGTCTTCCTCAAAGCCAAATATTTCTTAACCTCACTTGTAAGACCAGCTTCATCGCAACCTCTCCTGCGTAATATTGATTGAAGTTCGTGCAAGCATTCTTTTGTTTGCAACAAGGCATCCTTTGCAGTATTACACAAATCAAGAGCCAGAAGAGATCCATCTAATAGCTCATCAACCCATTTTCCATTTTTCTCTTGGGCTATGGATTGTTGGGTGAGTGGTAACAAAAGTAACTTATTGACACAATCTTGCAAATCCTGAAGGCTACTTAGTTTGCCACCCAAGGATGATGAGGTAGAGGTACCTCCAGAAGTCCTTGATCTGAACAAATGCTCATCAAGTTGGGTGATGATTGGGTTTGGTCTTGAGGGAAAACTGTTCGAGCGAGCACGGAAGCTAGTTTTTTGGTTAGTAGAAGCAGCCATTTTTCTTTCTCAAAGGGGAGATCAGACTAAAGCTGGTGAATGTGAATTATCAATCCTGTAACTTGCCTTTCTCGTGTTGCTATCCCCTAAATATATATCATGAGTTGAGGCAGACAAGAGGAATCTCAATAACATGATTCTGATTTGGATCTGAAATTAATATCAGCTATGTTTGTCAATGTCTCCTCCCCTACTACATCTCCAACTCATAAGACAGCTACTATTACTAATCTAATGGTCACCCACGAATGGCATTGACACCAATTTTGTTGATAGAGGTGGCCTGGCAATGTCTATTTTTCCAGACATATCTGCAGGAGTGAACTATTTGTTTTATTTGATCACAAATGGTCATATAAAAATTCATTTAAACACGCAAGTTGTTATAAAATTCTTAACTGATAGACCTGATTGTTGCTCAACAAGCAGGCAAGATCCGCATACTTGATTTATCAGCTTTCGCCCTATGTTAGTGTGCTGGACGGTTTGGCTGTCTTTGTGTAGCTTAGAGCATGTGATATTCAAATCTGTGATTTATCATTGATAATCATCTCCTTTGTGATTTAACTCATGGAATTATTAGTTTTTTGTATATAAGTTGTCTTAAAAGTTACTATACATTTAAGAAATAACCTTGAGAAGATGTAGGAATTTAAGATTTAAATTCAGATCGATCAGAAAATATTTTCCTTTTTGTGATTCCAACCACAAATTTGTGGATGTGATAAAGATTAGAACGGTAAATGGCATATTAGTCTCTATTATTTTCCCTTCCACGTGAATGCATGCAAAAAGTTTAGTTTCTCGAACTAAAAATTAATTGATCTTAAATTGTGAGAGGAAAAGCCTAAGCAAAATAAAAAAGAGACAAGATTTGCTGAAATTGTTGTGTATATTCAGTTTATGTTTGATTCATGTACAGATATAAATACATCTAGTTGACAAAGGTGTTGAGAAGAGAGACTCTAGTTTTGATCAAACGCCTGTAAAGGCTTTCGAGTCTTTCTTGGAGTTCTTGAATGCATAAGTCGAAATCTTTGAGCTGGTGCTGAACATTCTCAACGGGCAATGTCTTATCAGATTTGCTTGTCTTCTGATAAATGATAGATTGCAATGCAGAGTTCAGTTTTTCAAATTCATTCACTTCTGTTTCCTCTGCCTCACAACCTATTCTTTTGGGGTGCATTAGCTTGGACACCAAGGACCAGCCACTTAGCTTAGATTGTGCTTTTGACCCTACTGCGATAAGAGTCATGAGAGATTCAAGCACAATGAGAGTGGCTGCTTCCACCTCTTTTAGCATACATACCACGGTAACAGCTTCATGGTCTTTGTTGAAGGAAAAAGGTGACGATTTATTTTCCAAATCTAATTTCAAACCCCTCAAGGCCTTGTGGATTGTCTTTTTTACCACCGTCCTAGAGGTCAAGTATTTCTTCACCTCACTTGAGATCCCATTTTCAATTCCCCTTCTTCTCCTTATGATTGATTGAAGTTCCTGTGCACATTCCTTTGTTTGCAACAAGGCATCTCTAGCCACGCTGCAAACATCCAAGACTCTAAGGGATCTGTCCAAAACATCATCAACCCATTTCTCATTCTGCTCTTGGGCTAAAGATTTTTGAGTGAGGGGAAGCAGAATCAATTTATCAACACAATCATGCAAATCTTGGAGGCAACTTAGTTTGTGGCATATAGATGATGAAGAAGAGGGGGTGGCTTGAGAAGCATTCAATCTGCGGAAATGCTCGTCGAACTGTGAAGTTAGAGGGTGAGCCCTAGAAGGCAAGCTGTTGGAGCGAGTATGGTAGAGAGCCATTTGTTTTTTTTTGGGAAAAGATAAGGCCAAGAAGTTGAATTGCTGTCCTTACACAGCTATCAGCTTGAATATATATATTCCATGGAAAGGTTGACATAAAGAATCTCAAAAGCTTCGTATAATGAACCAGCTGGTAATGCGATTCAGATTCAGATCTAGCCCTATCAGCAATGTTTATGCAATGTCTCCCTCCAGCCTGATCACCAACTGATAATACACACTTGGTAATGATTTTTATATAATCTGCAACACATGAATGGTTTCGACTCCATTTTCTATAATACATCTGCACGTAAATAGGAACTTATTTTAAGTGCCTGCCTTAATTATGATCTTAACAAATAATTAAAGAATCTCTTCCAATTTTAATTTCTTTTAGATCAGATCCATAATCGCCATCATGACCATGTTTTAGATCACTGCCCCCTCCCTGTCCTCTCTCCAACTCAAATTGCCGAATATTTTAACTCACAAATCACACAATTGCATTGGCATTAATGGTAATGTTGCATGATATAATGAACTTTAATCTAAAATATGCAGACACACGAGTGGCTTTACAATACCAATAATGATAACATGATCTTGATCCATCACAAGTGGTATCTCACCTATATTTGAGCAATTTCTTATGTCTCCTCCCCACCAGCTCTCCAAATATCTGCCCGCACGGATAATGATCTGCTAGGATATCAAAGTTTGGGTCATGGAAAGGACAGCCTGTGTTCGGAAATACCCCGTTTGGACTCATTCAACCTACTGGTTAATTGATGTTTCATCAACTGTTGCATTCCGAGTCCAGTAGTATCCTTGTCCTTGCTTGGAAAAAGAAAAAACTCATTCCTTAGGGCCATGAGCATGTCTCTAGATCGTCGTTTTTTTTTTGTCAGAGTTGATATAGTTACTATATTACTTTCAGGGGTCACAATTTACTATTGATCTGGCAGCCGGCTGTATAGGTTCCTGCAGGCTATGCTCTGCTGAAAGTAAATCACCACTCGCCAGCTTGTGCTGGTGTCTCTGATCCAATATTGCACCAGGGACAGTCGGACCATATCCAGAACATTTATTTACTGGCCTCGCAGGAAAATTGCTGAATTCTAACATAGCTCACGAAGCTGTTAGGAAATGAATTAAGCAAGAAAATAGAGTACAAAGACAAGGATAATCCCATAATACAGAGATTTACGGGATTCCTCTATGGCTGCATTGTGATTTCTCATTAGAGTTTTATCACGTGACGGCTTACAAAATATAAGAGATATTATCCATATTTATAGTATGAATAATTAAGGTTACAAAAAAAAGGTTTAATGAGCCTCTGGTCTAATATTCTCTAGACCTTTCAGGAGCTCTGCCCTCGAGCCCCTACAAAGAGGTGTTGTCCCCTTGACTCTCATCGTTTGTGAGCATCCTAAACTACGGACTACATCTACATGAGTTTTCACAACTTAATAAAAACCACTACTAAATCAAGTGTTCAGGATCTTGCCTACGTGGTGAGCAACAATCAAACCTAGTATCTAAGTATTTTTGTAAACAACTTGCAAGTTTACATGAATTTTTTTACATGACCATTTGATCCTCAAACAATTGAAATACATATTCCCCTCGTGCAGAAATGCAGGAAAAAAGGGCATTGCTAAGCCACTTCAATCAAGGAAATTGGTGTCAATGCCACTCGAGTGCGATGATTAGGTTAGTACTTTACCTTGTCTTTTCTGTTAGTTGCCGTATGAGTTGGATGCAGTGCGAGGGGAGACATTGACAAACATAGCAGATACGAATTCCAGATCCCAATCGAAATAATGTAAATGAGATTCCTCTTGTCTTTGGTGGTTGGCACCCCACGATATATATTTAGGCAATGCCATCACAAGAAAGGCAAATCGAAACACTGATCATTTACCTTCACCTGCTTTAGTCTCTCCCTTTCGATTACGAAGAATGGCTACTTCTAACCAGAAAAAACAGTTTCCATGCTCGCTCTAACAGTTTTCCCTCTAGACGAAACCCAATCATCACCCAACTTGATGAGCATTTGTGCAGACTAAGGGCCTCTGAAGGGGCTTGTACCTCATCATCTGTAGGCGACAAACTAAGTGGCCTTCAGGATTTGCATGATCGTGTCAATAACTTACTTATTTTACCACTCACCCAACAAGCTATAGCCCAAGAGAATAATGAGAAATGGGTTGATGAGCTATTGGATGGATCTCTTCTGGTCCTGGATTTGTGTAACACTGCAAAAGATGCCTTGTTGCAAACAAAAGAATGCGTACACGAACTTCAATCAATTTTAAGAGGTTGTGGTGAAATTGGTCTTACAAGTGAGGTTAAAAAATATTTAACCTCTAGGAAGGTATTGAAAAAGGCAATTTGCAAGGCCTTGAAGGGTATGCAAAATAAATGCACCTTCTCTACCTATAATGGAGATCATGAAACTACAACCGTGTTTTGCCGGCTAAAGAAGGTTGAAGCAATCTCTTTCGATGTGTTCGAATCCTTGCTTACCTTCGTCTATGGACCAAAGACGAGGCCTACTGGTTGGTCATCAGTCTCCAAGCTGGTGCACCATAAAAAAGTAGCATCTGCAGCCCGAAGAAACTGATCGAAATGAATTTGCTGGAGTGGATGCAGCATTGCTATCTTTGGTAGATCACAACACATACAAATCTGATAACATCAAGGGTGTGCAAAGCCAGCTGGAGAAGTTAGAATCGTGCATTCAAGATATCGAAGAAGGACTTGAGTGCCTTTTCAGGAATTTGATCAAAACTAGAGTCTTCCTTCTCAATATCCTAAGCCGGTAGCCTGAACAATTTTGATATATAGTCATACTTGTGCGTTGTAGAAATATACATGTATTATTCAAAAGATAATGAAATCATATACTCAGTTCCTCAAAATTTCTTATATTTTACCTTATTTTGCATTTACTGGAGCCTCGTTTTCTTTAGCAGTTAAATGAAAGTGCTGCTTTCAATTGGATTACCTCAATGGTAAATTAAGATGGGGACAAAAGGAAGCAAATTTGGTAACAACTGCAGAGAAAATGCAGCGCTAGCTTAAACAATTCGATTTATGCATTGAAGAACTAGAAAAAGGGCTTCCTTTTGATCAAAACTAGTCTCTCTCTTCTCAACACCTTTGTAAATTAAATGTGTCTATATATGTACATGAGTGAAATATAAACTAGCATAATAGCAGCACGTTGTGGCTGATAAATCTATATAATATTTTTATTATTTTAAATAATTAAAAAATTTATAAGTAATATAAAAATTAAATAACACTAATTGTGAGAATCTAATATATATATATATATATATATATATATATATATATATATATATAATACAATTATTTTTTTATTTTTTAAATCAAATTAGAAGAATATGCTAACTCAATTTATATTAGAAGAGTATTTAATTTTAGTTAATGAGTCTATTAACAAAAAAACCTTAAATTTTTTGTTTTAATATTTTAAATAATTAAAAATCTAGGCATATAGTAAAAATTAATTAACAATAATTGGGAGAATTTATTTAATTTAATATATATTATGCAATATTTAATAATAAATATATACACACACTCTATAATCGATTTTAAATATATCCTAGAAATATTTTTTATTTGGATCAATAATGTATATATATATATATATATATAGACACACACTCCATAATTGAGTTTAAATGTATCCTAGAAATATTTTTATTTTGATCAATAAAAAATAAAACTTGCAATTAATTATTTTTTAAAAAAATCAATTTATATTATGAGAGTGTTTAATTTTAGTTAATGAGTCTACCAAAAAAAACCATTAATTATGAAAAAAATATTTTGAGTGAATAATAAATAATAAAAAATAAAAACATATTTTTTTATTTTGAGTAAATAATAATTAATGAAAAAAATATAAAAAGGCACAAGAAAAAGGGCTAGGCTTGGATGGGCTAATGCCAGGCCCATTCGTATGGGCCTAGGGACAACAAGGCCCATTCGCATGCCATTTGTAGTTCCAATCTTTATCGCATCTAGAAGTTCGGAAAAACCATTTCTTTTTCTTCTTCCAAAAGTTTCATTTGCGGACAGAATCTCAAGAGGGAAACACTTGGGATCAATCCGAATTTAAATTTCAAATTCCAATCTCTAAGCTGCACAAAGACAGTTGAACGTTCCAGCATATTCACTTACTGGCGTCACAGTAATTTCAAAATTCTAACATAGCATGAAGGCTGATAAATCAAGTATGCTGATCTTGCTTGCGTTAATCAAGCCTATCATTGATGAATTTTATAAACAATCTTCACGTTTACATGAATTTTTATATGACCATTTCATCGCAAACAGATAAAACAAAGAGCTCCCTCGTGCAGATGTTTCTGGAAAAATGGACATTGCCAGGCCACCTCTATCTAGAAAATTAGTGTCAATGTCATTCGTGTGTGTGGTTGTCTTATGAGTTGGAGGTGTGGTGGGGGAGGAGACATTGACAAACATAGCTGATATTAATCATGTTATTGAGATTCCTCTTGTCTGCCTCAACTGATGATATATATTTAGGCGATTGCAACACAAGAAAGGCAAATTACAAGATTGAAAGTTTACATTCACCAGCTTTAGTCTCTCCCCTTTGAGAAAGAAAAATGGCTGCTTCTACTAACCAAAAAACTGGCTTCCATGCTCGCTCTAACAGTTTTCCCTCTAGACCAAACCCAATCATCACCCAACTTGATGAGCATTTGTGCAGATCAAGGGCTTCGGAAGGTGCCTCTACTTCATCATCCTTGGGTGGAAAACTAATTAGTCTTCAGGATTTGCAAGATTGTGTCAATAAGTTACTTTTGTTACCACTCACCCAACAAGCCATAGCCCAAGACAAAAATGGAAAATGGGTTGATGAGCTATTAGATGGATCTCTTCTGGTTCTTGATTTGTGTAATACTGCAAAGGATGCCTTGTTGCAAACAAAAGAATGCTTGCACGAACTTCAATCAATATTACGCAGGAGAGGTTGCGGTGAAGCTGGTCTTACAAGCGAGGTTAAGAAATATTTGGCTTTGAGGAAGATAGTAAACAAGGCAATTCGCAAGGCCTTGAAGGGTGTGCAAAACAAAAGCACCTTTTTTATGTCTAATGGAGACCATGAAACTACAAACATGTTTAACATGTTAAAAGAGATTGAAGTAGTTTCTGTCAAAGCGTTCGAATCCCTCCTCTCCTTCATCTCTGGATCGAGGGCAAAGACTGGCTGGTCATTAGTCTCCAAGCTGGTGCACAATAAAAAAGTAGCATCTGCAGATAAAGAAACTGATATAAATGAATTTGCTCAAGTTGATGCAGCATTACTCGCCTTGGTAGGTCAGAACACAAACAAATCTGATAATATCAAGGGTGTCCAAAGCCAACTGGAGAACTTGGCATTGTCCATTCAAGATATTGAAGAAGGTCTTGAGTGCCTTTTCAGGAATTTGATCAAAACTAGAGTCTCCCTTCTCAACATCCTAAACCATTAGCCTTAACAATTCGGATATACTCATACCTGTACATTGTATATTCATGTATTATTCCAAAGATAATGAAATCATATACTCAGTTCCTCAAATTCTTTTCCCAGTTTACTGTTTTTATCTTTTCAGATTTTACTTTTTCTGCATTTACCATAGCCTCTTTTATTCAGCAGTTGAATAAAAGTTCAATTTTTAATTGAATTACCAATTTTATTTATGTTTTGGATCATCACCTCTGTGTTGATGCTAGGGGACAGAAACAGATGGAGAATGTTTTAAAAATATAAGGGTCCTGCAAGATGCAAGGGTCTGTTCCAGATTAACCACTGCGAAATTAAAAAGGTAGACTCAAAAATAAAGTGCTTCTTATAATATCAAATTTTGCTGTCTTAGCTCATAAATAATATCTGAACTTAATCATTAAGCACTAAATGAAATTACTTAATGGCAGTCACATGGTATAAACTCAAATCTCTGCATAACGAAAGCAATGAAAAAATAGATTGCTGTCTTTAGGTTAGGGAGAAAGTGGAATCATCCAGCAATGTCATTGACTCTCCACCTGCGCAGCTCTTATCGGTATACCACAATTTGGCTGGAGTCTAGAGATACTGAAGCCAAGGATGCGGATCTTGTCTTCCTGTTTCACAACACAGATTTCAGGACCTAACGTTGTATGCATTAATAAATCACCACTCGTGCGTTGCAGATGTAATAAGAGTATTCAATTCCAGAGAGTTGTGATTTAAAACTTCAAATAATTATATAGTCATGGAATGCTGAATTGGTGGGCAAGGGACATTGCGTTGACATTGGGGATGCCATTTTTCTGAAACATATTACCACCATTAATGGTTGAAGAGGATGAGATTCCTCATGTCTCCCTCACCCCAATATATATTCAGTAGATGCCAACAGATGGAAAGCACATTGAATTGAATCCATATTTTCAATCATCAAAACTTCTCTTCTCCGAGAAAGATAAATGGCTGCCTCTCCAATCTGCTCCAAGACCAGCTTCCATGCTCGATCCAACAGTCTACCCTCTAGACCACACCCAATCATTTCTCAATTTGATGAGCATATTTGCAGAGTAAGAGATTCACAGGCCACCTCTTCATCATCATCATCAATAGGCCACAAACTATGTAGCCTTCAGGATTTGTATGATTCTGTTGATAAGTTCCTACAACTGCCACTTACACAACGATGCTTAGCACGTGAACACAATCAGAAATGTGTCGATGGCCTACTAGATGGATCTCTTAGGCTCTTGGATGTGTGCAACTTTACCAAGGATGCACTATTGCAATCGAAAGAATACATTCGCGAGCTTCAATCGGTTATTCGAAGAAGACAAGAAGGTCTTGACAGTGAGATCAGGAAATACACAGCATCCAGGAAAGTAGTAAAGAAGGCAATAAAAAAGGCCTTGAAGAGCTTGAAGGGCATAGAAAACACGTGCACCTTCTCTAATGAAGACCCTGAGATTGTGGCCATGATTGGCATGTTAAGAGAGGTTGAGTCCATCAGTCTCACCGTGTTCGAATCATTGCTATCATTCATTTCTGAACCGAAGTCACAAGCAAAGAAAAGCGGCTGGTCATTGGTTTCCAAGCTGATACACCACCGAAAAATAGCTTGCGAGGAAGAAGAAACAAATGTGAATGAATTTGCAGTGGCTGATGCTGCGTTGGAATCTCTTATCAGTTGCAAAACAGATAAGATGAAGAATGTGCAAAAGAAGCTAAACAGTTTGGATTTGTGCATTGAAGATCTTGAAGATGGAATTGAAGGCCTCTTGAGGCGCATGATCAAAACTAGAGCATCCTTCCTCAATATTTTCAATTAGTATAGCCTGAAAAATCAGTGAAAAGCATACTTTGTCAATGAATGAAATCTGCTTTTAAATATTTTTTTTTATACTAATTCACTTACTTTTTCTCAAATTTTATGTGTCCTTTATGATGTGTTTCCTCTTGTGTTTTTATGACATCTATTTAATTTCCACTCACTTAAAAATACAACTGACCTCGTCCCATATAATCCAATTTGGTGTCCCATGAATAAATCAGTTTAACATCTGAATAATGAATTTCATAATGCCTGGTGGCTTTATGAGGTATGATCAGGATCAGGAAAGCTCAAGTTATTTTGGGAAAACAAATTAGTAATTTTTCTATTGCAACTTGGAAGTAATCTCAGTGTTCTGAAATTAAATATTATGCCAGGTGATCGCTGATTAATTTTCTTGAAATTTACATCACCAAATCATGTATGCGGATTTTGCCGACCTGTTGAGCAACAATCAGACCTATGATTTGAGAATTTCATAAACCAAGCACTTGAACATTTGCAAGAATTTTTATATGAGCATTTGATTTGCTGACAGTTCGCCCGTGCAGATTTGTCTGAAAAATTGGACAAATGCCAGGCCACTTCTTTAATACTTAGGGTCAGTACTATACCATGTCTTCTGTTAATGGGCTATAGTGTTTGTCTTATGAGTTGGAGATGTGATGAGGGAGGAGGCATTGACAAACATATATAGCTGATATGAATTTTAAATCCAAATGGAGATCGAGTAAATGAGATTCCTCTTGTCTCCCTAACTCCGTGATATATATTTAGGCAATGCTAACACAAGAAAGGCAAATTGCAGGACAGATAATTCACATTCACCTGCTTTAGTCTCCCCTTTGAGAAAGAAAAATGGCTTCTTCTTCTAACTCAAAAACAGGCTTCCATGCTCGCTCTAACAGTTTTCCCTCTAGACCAAACCCAGTCATCTCCCTGCTCGACGATCATTTGTGCAGATTGAGGGCTTCTGAAGATGCCTCTACCTCATCATCCTTCGGAGGCAAATTAAGTAGCCTTCAGGATTTGCATGATTGTATCAACAAGGTACTTCTTTTACAACTCGTCCAACAAGCCATGGCCCAAGAGAATAATGAGAAATGGGTTGATGAGCCATTAGATGGATCTCTTCAGGCCCTGGATTTGTGTAATTCTGCAAAGGATGCCTTGTTGCAAACAAAAGAATGCATACAGGAACTTCAATAGATTTTACGCAGGAGAGGTTGCGGTGAAATTGGTCTTACAAGTGAAGTTAAGAAATATTTAACCTCCAGGACGGTTGTGAAAAAGGCAATTTGCAAGGCCTTGAAGGTTAAGCAAAACAAATGCACCTTCTCTTCCTCTAATGGAGACCATGAAACTACAACCATGTTTAACATGTTAAAAGAGCTTCGAGCAACCTCTCTCAATCTCTTTGAATCCTTGCTCTCTTTCATCTCTGGACCAAAGACAAAGTCTGCTGGTTGGTCATTGTTTCCAAGCTGGTGCACGGAGCATCTGCAGAAGAAGAAACTGGTATAAATGAATTCGCTAAAGTGGATGCAGCATTGCTAGCCTTGGTAAATGACAATACATGCAAATCTGATAACATCAAGGGTGTCCAAAGCCAACTGGAGAACTTAAGAGTTGTGCATTCAAGATCTTGAAGAAGGTCTAGAGTACCTCTTCAAGCATTTGATCAAAACTAGTCTCCCTTTTCAACATCCTAAATCACTAAAACCTGAACAATTTTGATCCAGTCACACTTGTTATACATTAACGAAATATACAGTGATTATTCCAAAGATAGATAATGAATCCAGAAGATGAATATTTTCCACTACATGTTGCATTTCTTTTTTATCTTTTTCTATTTAATTACCTTAATTAATTTGCATTTACCATAGCTAGTTTTTTTTTAGCAGGCACAAAAAATAAACAATTACCGGAAGAAATAGAGAAACAAATGTAATAGAAAACAAAACTTTAAAAATATAAATTACAGTACAGATTAATCGCTAAGAAATTACCAAATGAATCATTCAAACCATAGTAAATATGTTTTGAAATAATAAAAATTGCTGTCTTAACTCAGAAACATGATAAGGGAAAAGCCAGCAAGCAAGAGAGGGTAAAAGCTCTCGAGTAAAGACATAGGGAAGAACAGAATTATCGAGTTTTCTCCCACTAAAAGCAGAATTTGTCTTCAGTGTCTCTTGCTACAAAAAAACTGTTAGAAATTGAGGGGAGGAGGAAGGAAGCATTGTCGACCTTTTCTTTTTCGTATATTACTCTTGTATGAAAAGAAGTCTCATGAACTTGGAGTTAGATCTACAACTTTTTCAAAACTCATATTTATGCTAATTTAAGAACAATTTTAGATTGTTACATTGTTTATAAATTTTAAAAATTAATTCCAACAAACACTAACTTTTTGGGACAGAATCTTTCCATATATTCTGGTAAGTAGCTAACTTGATTTGTTGGATTGCAGAATCTTATCATAACGATCGTGAGTTATAAGGGAGAGTTGAGAGTTGGCGAAGAAGCAGCCTTCGTAGATGTTGAAAAGTTAAAGTCCTGCATAGAGAGTGCAATTGAGGTGATACTCAAAGCAGCCTGCGAAGTCCCAGAAGAAAATTAATCAAGGACAGAATGCTTTCTCATGTTTTATATATTTACGTTTCCTTTGTATGATTGAAAAAAGAGTGCATTAATTTTTTTCTTGCTTAAGTTTGAAGGTATATATGGATTGTAAGTTGGCTCTAGATATATAAAATTATCCATATGTGTGTTTTCCAAATTGTTCTCTGGATTCAAATCCTTTCCATAGTAATTGACCAGGATCAGGATTTAATTCATTGGTAAAGTAATAACAAATACAGGTCCTCAATTGCCTAAAAGACTTGGGATTGGATTGAAGAAGAATTCTCACTCAGTGCTTCCTCTCTCAAAATTATTCCTCGATTTTCTTACCATACTTCGCTTGATGTTTTAATTTCTTTCTTTTTAATCGCATCCAACCTTTCGGCCTTTGTACCAAACGCTAGAAGATAAAAGATCCCCGAGCTTTCATGTTGTCCAGCTTTTTCCCACAAACAAAAGAAGCTACTGATCATGTGAAAAAAGCACCATAAAGCAAATAGCTCAACCACGAGATATAGTCTGTTGGTAAGGTAAGGTCAATTTATAGACTAGATTTAAATTCAATCTTTATGGCTAGTTCTTTTAAAAATTTATTCTCAAAATACCTGAAATCATTTATTAAGAAATGCTCCTCAGACATGTTCAAGAAGAGATTAATTTCGAAGTGTGTAAAAATTAATCCGAAAACATATTTACTATTGAACCTAAAACAATCAAGCAGATACCCATGATGAATGTTCAAATACAATTGAACTGTTACAAAGACAGAACAATTAAAGCAACCTTTAGTTCAATTTTGACAAAATATTGTGTGAGTATTTGATCACATTATGTTATATAAAAGAAAAGGCCAGACAAAGAATAGCTATAATTGGAGTCGTGTAATCATTGTCCTTAAGGATATTATTTCGTATCCTCCAAGATAAAACTAATTCTTCTGAAACTAAAACCAAGAGCAAAGGAAGGTGGGTATAATGGCGAAGCAAAATCTAGGAATGCCACAAAAAATTTAGGCTGATAAATGGTTATAATTGATAGGTTCCATTGCAAATAAGTTCAAGTTTAGGTCAAAAAATTTAAATGAGTGAGTTAAAAAAAAAGACTTTGGATTTTGCACAAAGGAGAGCACACGAGTCATTTTACATCAATTTAGCCCAGCTCGTTTGTGCATAAGCCCAATACATCTTACTTGTCTTTTACAACCTCATAATACACTTTTTTTTAATAAAGTGTTATGTCAATGTCTCTTTTTTATTAATGGAAAATGAAAGTTTTTGACAACCTCTTGAATGTTTACAACAGATTAAACCCATTGGTTTTTTAGTAAATCGATTAACTCATATGATGCTATGCCAAACTACTTCGTTTGAGGTTCGAAAAACCTAATTCCTTCACTTGCCCGGTCTCGCATTCTTTCCTTTTTCAACTTTTCTTGTTGCAGCCACATTCTCCTAAAATTCCATCCTTATTCATCTAAAAATCTTAATTAACATGAAAAGAAAAAAAATTGAGCTTTTGATAATCACCAGAACAACCGTCCTTCCACTGGCAATCCCTAAAGACCATCTCTTTCTTCTTCACACGATCAGCACCTCAACCATAGCCATAAAGTAGAGAAGCTGCAAAAGAAGAGAGACATTTGGAGAGGGCTTAGGCTTATGGTTTTATAATGTAAGGAACTGGATCTCTTGCCTCGTATCCAGCAATGAATAACGTTTCTAGTAAAGAGAAATTCCCTCGGGTGTGGCCGCCCGGGCAAGGGGTTTTGTTCACGAAGAGAACCTTTTGGGCTGGACTTTAGAGGGAATCGGGCTTTATATTGGACCAATGTTTGAGTTGTCCATTATTTCATGATATATCAAATGGTGGTGCTTTTTTATATTGGACCAATGTTTGGGCTGGACTCTAAGTTGTTGGTTTTGATGGTGTTTTCAATGTTGATGGTTAGTAACTAAGGTAACGTCATGCGAGAAGGAAAAAATACAATATCAAATCAATATATTCAATGCTTTCACTTTTCGAAAATAAACCTTAAGGATGATTTAGATATTTTGTCTGCAAAAGATAAAAAATGTTGGTTTTATGACAAATTTTGCCTCAAAAGTAATGCAATTTAGGAATTTCAGACTTAAAATATCAAATTATATAATTTAAACCCTAAAAAAATTAAAAAATTAATTTTTGAAACAAAAGAAATTAACCAATTCGTTTTTTCAAAACTAAAGGGAGTAATTTATAATTTACTCTCCAATCTTAGGTTATGCTTTCTTTTTCTTTTATTTACTAATGCAAAGTCCGAAAAGAAAAAGAAAAAGCAAAAAAAAAAAAATTCCATCTGGTCTCTCTCTCCTCCTCGGTCGCTCTACCAGTACCAGTAGGCAGTAGCCTATTCTCTTCCCTTCGCTTGTACGGTGACAGTCTTTGGAGATGCAAAGTGGTGGAGAGACGGTAACTCAAGCGGAGCAGTGGTCGGTTGAGAATGGGTTAAGAATTTTACCCCTTTTCAATTCTCTCAACTTCCATTTAAAAAAAATAATAATTAAGTAACAGTCCATTAATCGTTACAAATAATAAAGGTTAAATAATTTAAATCATATTTATTTAATTTTTATTATTTTAAATATTCAAATTATGTAATTTAATAGATTTAGAATTATCAAATTGTAATACTTTGAGGATCAAATTTGTTCGTTAAACCAAAAAACGTTGTGCCAATAGCTACTTCCTTTTATAATAATCACTAATTGAAATTAAATTCACAATTAAGAAAATGTGTAAAAAAAAAAAATGCATGTGCATGTGCAGAAGTGTCCTCTACTTCTTATACCAAAGCTTTATGTTCCTGTTTTTTTTTTTTCAATCTTTTCTCTAATTTAATTTAACTAATAAAGTAAAGGGATAGAGAAACAATGATCAAGACTGTTTTTTATAAGAAAAAAGCTTAATCTTCATTAAAAATTATGCGCCTCAAAAAACTAATTTAATACAATAATTTATATATTTTACGAGAAGTACTAAACAAAAAGTAACTATATTTTGGTCCAAATACTATTTTAATCAATGAAATTATTGATTAAAACTGTATTATTATGTTCTTATAAACTCGAGCTTGATCTTTCTAAAATCAAGTTTACAAAGGGTACGACTGAACATTTTGATCCGAAATGTGGTCCCATTTTCTTGTAGCGACACATGTATTGAGCACATAAAAAATGTTGCAATAATGATGAAACAAGAAAACCAGTAATTTTTTCCTTTGAGAAACAAAAACCAATTTCTGCAGAACTAGACAAAGTCAATAATTGTCAAGACTACAACACGCTTGATACGATTCTCTAGATAAGATTTTTCTAAGGTCCCCAATTCAAAATTTCCCTATCATGGATAAATATTAAGAATTTGTGAATGAATGTTAAGTGGCCTAATCCTCTAGTTTGTTCCTTTGTTTGTATTCAGTGGTCAATTTTTCCCTTATTTTTTACTTCATTCAACATGTCCTCATGTTATCCAATTTGAATTAATGAAGGCCAATTATTAAAATGTGTTAGTTGTGGATAACGTAACATTAAGTAGGCTCAATTAATTAGAAAGAAAAAAAAAAGAGAGAGACACAAATAAAAGGATAAGGAAAGAAAAAAAAATTGAAAAACCCTAATATCGTTATTGATCGATCTCTAATTAAATCTAGGGACATCCTTATTCCTTTTTTTCCCCCCTTGACTTTGTTTCTCTCTTTTTTTACTGCACCTATTTAATACCACATCACTCAAAGCAAATGTATGATTCAAACAAATTTTAGTAATTGGTTTCAATTAATTCGAATTGAATAACATAAGAACAGATTGACTAAACTGAAAACATAAGAGCAAAATTGACTATTAAAAATATGAATACATAAACAAACTATAAGGTTAAAACAATGTTAAATGGTGTTTTATCAACCATTAGGCTGTGATATTGGTCTACACATGTTGGGATGTTGCAGGATTTAATTTATTAATTTGTGTATCGTTGCTATTTTTTTATTTGTTTATTTCTTTTTATTTTTTTAATGAAATTTGATCACATTAATAAATAAAAAATAAAGAAAAACAAATGTAACATGGTACGAGCAAAACTATTCAAAATATCCCTAATTCTTGATTTTAAAAAAAATAAATTTATTAAAGTTACGACCCAAAATATTTGATAGCAAATTGGCCAAAATCAACCGTTTTGTTGTAGTCATAACATTTATTGAACTACAAAAAAAAAAAAAATTGCAATAATGATAAACAAACAAAACCGAGTGATTTTTTTTCTTTTTGAGAATCAAAAACCAGTTCTTGCATAACAAAAGAAAACCAATAACTAAATACGCTCTTATCTTGGTAAGATTTTACTGCGTTCCCTAATTCAAAATTTTTGGATCAAGGATACTATTTATGGATAAATGTCAAGAATACAAATTATAGTGTCGAAAAAAACACTATCTTTTAATCCAAACAAAATCAAGCCAAATGGTCCTTATTTTCAAAGAAAAACTCAAAACTAGTTTAAGTTTTATATTAAATCCAAAACTCGTTGATCAAAAGCAATTTCGGATGGTCCCCAATTTCGCATTTCCAAATCAAAGAAATGGTCCTTCATTTTTAACCTAGTTTTGTTTTGGAGTTGATAATCAATAATTCCATAAAATCTTTCAACACGTTTTATTATTCACAGATTAAGACTTGCATCATGTTTTCTTTTATACAATATATCGATAGAAAGTAGATATTGTTGGCATGAGTCGATAGAATCCCTAGTTTATAGATAGAAGCTACAACTCGTAAAGAGATTCCTTAATTCGAGTGGTCAACCATAAGTTCGACTCTTAGTCGTTGCATAGGCCAAATATAGCTCCCGATTTCTCTCTCTTTGTACCTATATATTGCATGTAATTGACCAAAATTATGAATAAGAAAAAAGAAAAAATAGACACGGTCCGACATGGTATCGAGCATGTGGCTTTGGGGT